TTCTTGACTTTCCACAACAGTTGCTCTAACGGAGTCATAGGCACTTTGAACTGCCTGTCTCGTTGCTGCATCTGTTATTTTCGTCATATTTTGTGCTACTTCTCTTAACTCTTTGTCGAAACCTTCAGACTTCAGTTTCTTTCCAGCTGAGAAGTCGTTCACTAGTTTCACCTTACTATGAAGAGCTTCGAAGGCATTCTTAAAGTCGGCATTCATTAAAGCTTCATTTGAACTGTCTTCATCCGCTTGTATTTTTGTCCTTATTGACCCTATAAGTTGGGCTGCTTTAGCGTTGGCTTGGCATCTAACCAGTCATTATTAGCTTTTATAATATCTGCGCTTTCATTGCCTTTGCATGGCCGCGTCGTTATTTTTACTTTCTTGTGCTAAGTTTTCATACTGTACGGTTTGGTTTTGCAACTGTAAAAGTTTTTCTGCCTTTACATTTGCTTCAACTTCTTTTTTATACTCATCGCTATCTATATATGTCTTCAGGGCTTTTTGTTTTATCTCTTCATCTTTCAGTACTATATTGAGTAGTATGGTTTTTCAAATTTATAACATCTTGTTCCATTTTTGCTACTTTCTGCTGCTTTTTCTGACACTTTTTTTCGCATATTCCTCTGTACTTAGTTCTTTCAGTTGTTCTTCTTTCTTCTTTTTCTCTACGTTTAACTCATTGAGTTTCTTTGTGTGTCTGTCATATTCTAGTTTCTTTTCGTTTTCACTTATTTGTTTCTGTATGTCTATGTTTGACTTTTTGACATCTGTTATTTGATTTTTGAGTGAACTCAAATTCATTTGACTTTGAGGGTTATAAGCTGTTCCGTCTGCAGCTCCACCATAGCCTGCCATTTTCGCTAAAAGTGCCGCTCTTAAACCTCCACTCTGTGCACCAATAACTCGGTTTAAAAGCATAGGGTTGCTTGACATTTGTTGCAACATAGTGGGGTCATTCATCATTTGTTGTTGCAACTGTTGTTGTGGTGTCAGTTTTACTATTGGATGTTTCAATGCTCCCTTCCTCTTACGTATATTCTTACGTAGCTTACGTGGCATTTTAAGTGAAGTTAAAAAGCGGTTTTTGACAGATGTTTATATGACACTTTTTGTTCAGCACAAAAAACTACTCGGTCAAAGTGTTGTCAGTTTTGTAAAATAACCGTCCTATCTCATTCTATAAGGGAAAAAGGCTTCTCAAAGTATACTTCCTTGGAACGCCTGTAACTTTTCCTGTAGCGACGATAGACCCTTACTTGTCCGGACAAAGTTATACTATTTTGAGTGCTCTACAAAAAAGTCAACGGCGACGACTCTCAAAAACCGTTGTGTAAAAAGTTTTACCGTTGGACAAAAAAGTATATATAGAAAACAAAAAACGTTTATAGTTCATTCAATATTTGAGATGGAACGGTTTTCCAACGGTAACTATTAAAAAATAAAAAAAAATAGAGGGGGTCTCCGTTGGTAAAAACGGTTTATTTTAAACTTTTCTATGAGTAGTCCGAAAAAAACAGTTTATTTTTCATAATGGAAGGAAGAAAAAGTGTCGCAAACAATTCGTCGACTACCTCTGCAGTTAAAGTTCCTACAACTTATGTCTCACCATTCTCAAAACCCTTACGACCTCCTATAATACCAAAGCAACTTCCTCATACAATTCAAGACAATTTGTCCAACAATTTGAGTTCTTCTTCTCAAAACACACTGAAACAACAGATACAGTTGTCCAAACAGCACCAGAACAAGTTTCACATAGTTCTACAATTCAAGACAAATTGTCCAACAATTTGAGTTCTTCTTCTTCTCAAAACACAACAGAAACATCTGAAACAGATTTACAACCAGCACCAGAACAAGTTTCACATAGTTCTACAAGTATGTTAACAAGAGCACAATTTCAAGATTTAATTTCTCTTGAACAATATTCGAGTAACGAAACACAAAGCGACGACTGTAACCTCTCGCTACCCGAATCCATTCAAAGAAAATACGCCATGAAAAGACTGAAATTGTTGTATAAACTTCTTAACAATTGGGGGGTCGAAGACAACACAGATTATAGTGAAATGTTTAACAAAGTCATAGAATCTGTTAAACCAATTGAAAACGACATAAAAAATCCCGGTGTTCTTGTAGACCTTTTCGCCTCAAAATTACCAGTTACAACCAATCTAATAGCAACACAAGCTATAGAGCAATTTATTTTATGTTTTCCCAAGCAATATAGACAACACCTGAGGGAAACAAGAATAGGAAAATTTCAATTGGTGTATCCTACAACATACAACTATTACGAAGAAGCAAATGAATATGGAGAACTCTCATTCCATTTCACACTTTCAGTTCCTGAGGGAGAAGAAAAAGCAATCTATCATGTACAATCTCTTGCAGGATGTGAAGGAAAACCCCACATAATAACTACTGTTGCAATTGACAAACCTGCAAGAGTCGAAGACGATGTTTTGTTCGCGTCCATTGCTGGTTTTGGCATGGGAGAACCAATTCCAATTTCCCATTTCACAGAATACTCAGCACAACATTTTCAAAATGTAGAATTCGTGTTCTACGACCATCAAAAGTTCCTGCTAACAAAACCAAAGAAACAATTTGTCTCAATATTTGTTGCTGGTCATGTGGCTGACAAAGAGCCATCAGATACTGACTATGAAGAAGAGGAGGAGGAAGAAGAAAACGATAGCGATGTCGTTCTTATCGAATAAAAACTTTAATTTTTTACTATATAATTTTTTTAGTTCTCCTCTAGGTTTTTCTTAGGGCTAGAAGGGGCGCAGCCCCTGGAAGCCCCACTTCCTTTTTTTTTTTTTTTTTTTACGGTAGTGTTTACTAATAGATGAATAGTATATAAATTCTATTAAAATGGATTTGATCCAAAAAAATATATAAAATTTGATCATAAATAAAATCGTTTTAAATTACTTCTTCATTTAAATTATAACAATTATTTTTGGTTTTATATTTTTTTGGATCAAATCCATTTTAATAGAATTTATATACTATTCATCTATTAGTAAACACTACCGTATATTATTTTTTTAAGCTATCTTATTTTTTTGAACTTTTATTCAAATCTTTGGTCGCAAGAAGAATTGCATGATAAATAAAAACATTTAATCAAAGTCAATTTTATTTTTCATATTCAAATGGACTGAGTGTTAACATTTAACATTTTTTGCTAATTGTCGTCAAAAATTAGGCGTAAAGCAAAAATTGATATTTCATATGGTTTTATGATAGATAAGCATTATATTCCCACTCATTATATTCGTAAATTTTGAGGTTTATCCTTCGCTTTTAAGATCATTGAATTTGATTTTTATATAAAATAGTTATATATTAGAAAATAATATGAGTTTATGTGATATTATTTTTCAGAAGATTTTGTGTTCTTCTTCAAAATTTTATTTTTTATTAAAAAGGATCTTTACAAAATATACATTTACTTTAATTAATATTTAAAAACGTGCTCTATCAAAAGTTCCAAAAATTCAATATTTTAGCTTTTCTGAGGTGTCACTTTTGATGAATTTCTGTTTACAACAATAATTACATAAATCCATATGAATCAATCCGCTATTTATTCAGTCTCTAATTTTAATAGCTTTTTTGAATCTTGCAATCTAAATAATTAATATATGCGGGTCATTTTATTTTTTTTTTCATAATTACATTATATATAATAATAGATTAAAAAAAAGTAGTGGGGCTTCCAGGCGCGTTGCGCCCTCTAGCCCCGAAGATGTTTAGTATAAATGAAGTTTTTATTCGGAGGGCTTCCAGGCGCGTTGCGCCCTCTAGCCCCGAAGATGTTTAGTATAAATGAAGTTTTTATTCGGAGGGCTTCCAGGCGCGTTGCGCCCTCTAGCCCTGAAGATGTTTAGTATAAATGAAGTTTTTATTCGGAGGGCTTCCAGGCGCGTTGCGCCCTCTAGCCCTGAAGATGTTTAGTATAAATGAAGTTTTTATTCGGAGGGCTTCCAGGCGCGTTGCGCCCTCTATCCCATAAAAAATTTCTGAGGACGAGCCAGCCGGTGACTTTTTGGTAGAGCACTCAAAATAGTATAACTTTGTCCGGACAAGTAAGGGTCTATCGTCGCTACAGGAAAAGTTACAGGCGTTCCAAGGAAGTATACTTTGAGAAGCCTTTTTCCCTTATAGAATGAGATAGGACGGTTATTTTACAAAACTGACAACACTTTGACCGAGTAGTTTTTTGTGCTGAACAAAAAGTGTCATATAAACATCTGTCAAAAACCGCTTTTTAACTTCACTTAAAATGCCACGTAAGCTACGTAAGAATATACGTAAGAGGAAGGGAGCATTGAAACATCCAATAGTAAAACTGACACCACAACAACAGTTGCAACAACAAATGATGAATGACCCCACTATGTTGCAACAAATGTCAAGCAACCCTATGCTTTTAAACCGAGTTATTGGTGCACAGAGTGGAGGTTTAAGAGCGGCACTTTTAGCGAAAATGGCAGGCTATGGTGGAGCTGCAGACGGAACAGCTTATAACCCTCAAAGTCAAATGAATTTGAGTTCACTCAAAAATCAAATAACAGATGTCAAAAAGTCAAACATAGACATACAGAAACAAATAAGTGAAAACGAAAAGAAACTAAGAATATGACAGACACACAAAGAAACTCAATGAGTTAAACGTAGAGAAAAAGAAGAAAGAAGAACAACTGAAAGAACTAAGTACAGAGGAATATGCGAAAAAAGTGTCAGAAAAAGCAGCAGAAGTAGCAAAAATGGAACAAGATGTTATAAATTTGAAAAACCATACTACTCAATATAAAGTACTGAAAGATGAAGAGATAAAACAAAAAGCCCTGAAGACATATATAGATAGCGATGAGTATAAAAAAGAAGTTGAAGCAAATGTAAAGGCAGAAAAACTTTTACAGTTGCAAAACCAAACCGTACAGTATGAAAACTTAGCACAAGAAAGTAAAAATAACGACGCGGCCATGCAAAAGGCAATGAAAAGCGCAGATATTATAAAAGCTAATAATGACTGGTTAGATGCCCAAGCCAACGCTAAAGCAGCCCAACTTATAGGGTCAATAAGGACAAAAATACAAGCGGATGAAGACAGTTCAAATGAAGCTTTAATGAATGCCGACTTTAAGAATGCCTTCGAAGCTCTTCATAGTAAGGTGAAACTAGTGAACGACTTCTCAGCTGGAAAGAAACTGAAGTCTGAAGGTTTCGACAAAGAGTTAAGAGAAGTAGCACAAAATATGACGAAAATAACAGATGCAGCAACGAGACAGGCAGTTCAAAGTGCCTATGACTCCGTTAGAGCAACTGTTGTGGAAAGTCAAGAAAAAGAGTTACAACAGACCAAAACAGACCTAGTAAATGCTTTCTTAAAAACGAAAAGTCAGGTAGGACATTATGCTGCAGATGGAACATATGTGCCAGCTGGTGGAACTTATATACCACCAAACCCTCCAAGAGAAGCACCTGCACCAAGACTACCTAAAACATTTACATCGTCACATGGACACAGACACAGGCATGCACCAAAACCAACACAACAACCAACAGTTCAAAATCCAGCACAACAACAACCAACACAACAACCAACAGTTCAAAATCCAGCACAACAACAACAACCAACAATTCAAAATCCAGCACAACAACCACCTCCACAACCAGCACAACAACCAGCACAGCAACCAACAGTTCAAAACCCTGCACAACAACAACCACAAACAGAGCAAGGACATAAAAGAAGTAGAGAAAAAGGAAACCAAGAATTCTTAAAAATGCTTAAGGAAGATTATGGTTACCCAGATACTCTTGACTTTAGTGACAGATATAAAGAAGCTATTAGAAAGTTCAAGGAAGGAAATACTGACCCGAACCTATTTAGCTTTATGGTTCAGTATCAAATGGGATATAATCTCAAACCTGGAAAATACAAGCTCGCTAAGGGATATGATTTAATAGCATATCATCCAAATGACATGAATGAATTTACTCCGAGATATTTGGTGTCAGAGCTAAATGATAATTCAACTCTCTTCATGAAACGCGTAAAAAATAGAGACGGAACGAAAGAAGAAAGGTTTATGAGTCCGGATGACTTAGATAGGGAACTTGTTAAAAACGGTCTCGGAATATATGAAATGCCAGCAGATGAGGTACAAGAAACTCAACAGGAAGAAGTTCAGATACAACCAGACATGGAAGAAATAGTTCAGCAACAACAGCTAGAAGAGCCTGAAGGAAACGAACAAGTCCCTCCTTTGGAAACTAACTTCACAGAACTAGATGAAGATTTGGAACAGCCGAAAAATCTTGACCCTCAACAAGTGTATGCGGAGAATATGGAATCTTTCCAAGAGTCTAAGAAAAATTCGGCTGACATAGTAGAAGAATATCGAAAAATGTTCGCCGACATACAAAAGACTCCAACATCAGATGAAAATATTCAGCATAGAATGGAAGTACTGAAAGAAAATGTACGCAAATACAATAATCCTTTTTACTTACGACCATATAACGTTCAATCTTTGGCTGAACTCGGTGAAAATAAAAGGTTAAATTTCAACAAAACATATAGAAATGAAACATTGTTTAAAGTTCATTCAGAACCTAACCAATATGGAAACAAACCTACTTTTTGTTTCTGCAGACTATGGAACTACAATGAGATGGGGTCATAAAGCTAATCCGGATAGTTGGTTCATAAACTTACAACCTCAATTCCAAGAAGTTGTAGACGCAATGGAAGTGAATGGTGAACCAGATATAGCTGGTATTTTCAGCGCGGCTTTAATGCCATTGAAAGATATGAAAGATGCAGATATTTTGGACCAGTATGAAATGAACATGGCTGAGGGAAATATAACACCTGACGTTCTAGAACATTTATCTCAAAGAACTACACAGAACCATAGAGATGGTATATTTGGTGAAGAGTTTAGAAAGAGAGTTAGGGAGAGAGAAGGAAGAGAACCTATTGTACATGACCTTGCAAACGAAAGTTTGCAAAATGTCATAAAAACTTACTTTGCAGACAATGAACCGAGAATGGATGAATATTTAAGAAAACTCAAATGGACAGTACCAAATGAAATGTTAGTATTGAAAAACATGTTCCTTGACAAAATAAAACCAACTACAGAAATAAATGACGCAAGACTGGAACATTGGGTAAAAGCTTTCCCATTCACAAAAGATATTATTGGTAACATGGAAAGAAAACCAGAATGGCTACAAAAACATATATTTGGAAACGAGCTTATTCCATATGGACAAGCTCTGTTTGAAGAGCTTGAACCGGAAACTCAGGAAAGAGTCATGCAAACAATACACGAAGACTCAAATACAAACTATGACAAAATCTTTCTAGGATATAGGTTACCTGAGATGGGCGACCAGAGCCCAAAGGCAAAAAGGACATGGGAAATTTACAACATACTAGGTGAACATGAGGCAAAGATGCAACAACTTGAAGCAGAGGGCAAGTTACCAAAAGCGACACCAAAGAAGAAGAGAAGAGTAGAACAAAGTGAAAGTAGTGAAGAAGTAACTTCATCTAGTGAAAGTAGTGGCAATGAAGGAAAAAAGAAGAGTTAAAAACTCAGTCAGGAAGAAAGTAAAGCTTGGTCCGAGTGGGTTCTATTATGATATATAAATCCAACTATTCTAATATTTTTACCCATATGAAATGTACGCCGCTCAGAATATAACGCCAACAGTTTTTGGATGCCATGAACGGAAATGTTTCCGAATGGTATAACGAATGCGACAATGCCATTAGAAGGTCAGAAATAGTTCCTGGAACTTACGAATATACAACTGCTGTGTTTCTTATGGAAACGTAGGTGAGTTTGGAGAAGGTTCTTCAACAACAGTAGATATTGCTTGCGACAGGTTTCATATTATTTCTATTGACAACTCATTCTTATACGTGGAACAAGACATTGAAATAAAACCTTCTGCCAAGTTGTCTGACAAGAAAGGTTGCAATGGAATTTTCTATGTCGGATACCAATATGCTCCAGAAGTTTTTATGGGATATAAGATATATTCTAACTCTGACTTAGTTCAAACAGTAACATGGGCAAACTATGAATGGTTCGCTTTGAGAAACTCAGTACAACCACAAGCTAGAGAACAAACAGACCAGTATGCAACTATTGAGAAAATAAGAAGACTTGACCCTAACGTTCCAGGAGTTTATGTTGACCTTTCTGGACAAACTGCAGCAGCAGTAACCAAAGTAAAACTGAAACTTAGAGTTCCTTTGTCATCTTTCCTCATCTTCAGGTTTTTAAGATACTTGCCAAACTGGGCAGGAAAAATTTCTATCGAACTTACTCCAAGCAAAAATAACTTAGTCATTGCACCAACACAAGACCCATTCACTATTACAGACGTAAAGGGAACAAATAAAACGTCATTCGCCGAATTTTGCAAAGACAAAGTTGACTTAGACTTTGGTTTCTCAAACCTCAACACTGAAGTAAACTGTTATTTTAATGCTGCTGGAGATGCTTGGGACCCAGTTAAGTTCACATGCGAACAGTTTGAATGCAAGAGAATAGAAAGCAGACTTGCAGTCTATATGTTGGACCCAGATATTTCAAATGCTTTAGCTGCCAAATATATTGCAGTTCCACTTATGTTCCCTATACACCAAATATCTGTCAAAGACTTTGCAGGTGAAGTTGGAAACCAAAGTGCTGACCCAGGTGCAAGAACAGATATTGCTTTAATAACTGCAATAAACATGCAGATACTATGTTTGTACTGTTCAGACGAACATAAATGACTATTCTTGTTTCTACAACCCTGGTATTAAATATCATATAAACATAGATGGCAAATATTATCCAAGAGAAGAATATTCTACAGTTGAGGATATGAGGTCATACAACTTGACATTAGATGCTATGAACTTTAACAACAACTTCACAACAACCATTAACCTGAAATGCAAAGTTCTATTATGCCATATGTGAAAGTATGGACTCTATACAGGAGGTCAAAAACTCAATATACAAATGGAGACCGTTCAAACTTTTGGCTTGGCATTCCATTTGCTGACTCAGAAGACTTTATGGGTGGTATTTCAACTGTTGGTACTGTACAAATACAATATACTGGTGACAGAGACGGTCCAGATGAATTGAGAGCAAAGAAGTTTACAAAACCAATAGCACTTTTCACGGAAGATGCTCTTTTTGAAGATTCGTTCGAAGAAACCTGCTGGGCTCCTCAGATTGGCATAACGACAGCTTCCATCGAGCAGATTTTGGCAGCAGGTCAGTAAGTTGTTCTTGAACTGACTTCTCTCGTCAAATATTGACAGTACGCCAGTTTTGACATAATATTGTATTATAAACTTACCTTTAGAAATATCGGTCAGTTTTGAAGTTATATTTTTTGTCTGCTTCAAGAACTTTCACCATTTCAGTTATACCAACTTTCTTTGCTTTATGAAAATATTTTGGTTCAGCAAATATTGCTATTCTATAACATTTTCCATTGTTTGTGTAAAGAACTATTCTGTCAATGTATTTGTATTGTTTGTGAGTAAACTTTGTTCTGCTTCAATTCAATAAGATATCCGAATACGTCCATCTTTTTATTCTAAGTAAAATGTCATTTCCGAAAATAGAAGCGTAAGTGTTTCAAAAGGTTTAATGCGGTGGCAGATGTGAAGTTAAATTCACCAACTCAACAAACAGTCAAAGTGTTGTTGTCAATGTCAAAGACAGAGATGTTGAAGTGGGGAAACCATACGAAGACGAAAATGTATAACAATTGTTCCTGTAAAAGAACCAACATATCCTGAAGTTAGCAGAGACTTAAGTTCTGTTGCAGATATTCGAAACGACTACCAACAACTGAAAGACAAAACTTCAAACTCAGGAGAAGATTTGTCAAGCTTTAAGTATAATGTTAAACTTGGTCGAACACAACCCTGTAAAAGTGAACTCATATGTCATTGCACCTCATGAAGTTTGAAAGAACTATTGAAACTTTTGACAGAGGCAGACGATATAAACATCAAAGAAATAGAACCCGACATTAGTTGCTGTGGGTGTTTCATATAATGCCATTGACAAGATATACGTTATGAAAGGAGGTGAAACGTTGAACTTAAAATATAGTTTCCCAGACGTATAAAAAATATTTGACGACCACAACATTTCATTAAAGTTTATTTGCTAAGTAAATGGCAGAAGACATAATGGTTTATACTATTACGACTAAAAACCCTGAGTCATATAATTCTATAACAACAAACTTACAAAGTCCTCAAGGACGATATTGTAAACTAACCTTAAACACAATGACGACTAAAGCCTGTTTTTGCTCTTTTGACACCAGAAGACTTTATTGTTGTGAATGGTAAAAAATACTCCTTTGAAGATACTTACTCAGATATACCACCAACAGGTTTTGTTGACTTATTTAATACTTTAAGGACGGGTGTAACATGTGCTGCAACTAGAGCAGGTTTCATTATGTTTGGATGTCCGACTGAGTTTACTATAAACGATATGAGCTATAATACAAAACTTATTTCTGGTTTTTACTACCAACAGTTTCCTATAACAGGAAAAGGTGTCATACAAGGAATGTCTATTCCATTGACATTAAGCACACCAATCTTATATATTGTTTCAAACTTAGGTTCAAAGTGTTATTCGAATGTCGACAGAAACTATTATGACCAAAAGATACTTATGCGTATAAACAATACTTTCTCTGCTGGTTTGCCTATTGTTCATTCGAATGCAGAATTTTCAACCTTAGTGAACTCAAACACTTTGGCAAGTATAACGTTGACATTAGTTGACGCAAACTTTGTTCCTGTAAAACTTTTATGTCCTATGTATTTGTCAATGACGGCAGAAAGTTTCGAATTGGAAGATGCAACTGGAAAGTATTGTATTACAAGAACAACTTCAACAACAAATAGCTCAAGAACAACAAATGCAACAAATGGAACAACAAAGTCAAGAATAAAAAAATATTATTTTTTTATTTTTATAAAAATGTACAGAATAGATGTTTCAGATTTTTATGACTTCCAAGCATTCAGAAATATGTGTCCATTTAGAGACTATAACAAAGCAGTCGAGAATTTGAAACGTTTAGTCATTTATGTTGACTCTGCCCCAGAATGTTATGTCATGAAAGAATGTGATGTTGTCTTTAACAAACCAAGAGCAACAATAGTGTCTGAACAAGAATGTAGACAGAAACTTAAGAAAATAAAAGTCGTACAAGTTGGCATGAAGATGTTAGATGCTTGGGATATCTTATTGTCAAAGTTAGAAGATTTTTCAGTTCGAGTATAAAGTTCTATACACCTTCTCCAAACTTCTATTCTATCTTCACTGGATATAAATATGAACAAGTAGAATGGAAAGAAAATATTATAGAAGCTTGGTTAGACCATGTCAAAGAAATTATATGCAATGGAAACGAAAAGGTTTATGAGTATATCTTATGTTGGTTTGCAAACATCTTACAACATCCAAGTGCTAAGAATGAAACTGCTCTCATTATAATTGGAAAACAAGGAACAGGTAAGAACACATTCTTTACAGATATTTTGTGCAAACTGTTAGAAGGTTATTCGAATCCGAATATGACAAACTTAGAAAACATCTGTGGCAAGTTTAACTCCTCAATAGAGAATATGAAACTTATAGTTTGCAATGAACTTCAAAGTATAGATACAACAAAAGTTTTAAACTCAGATGCTTTGAAGAGTCTTATAACAGATAAAGTTGGAGTTGTTGAAAGAAAGTATAAAGACTCAAGAGTTTGTGAGAATGTTGCAAACTTCATTATGGTTTCAAACAATGCTGTTCCGATGAAGTTAGAAAGTTCTGACAGAAGATATGTAGTTGTCAGAACGTCAGATTCTCATATGCAAGATACAGAATATTTTGACGACTTAGCAGAAACTTTGACATCTGACTTTTACAACCACTTGTTCTCATACTTTATGACATTAGATATTTCTAAGTTCAATCCAAGACAAATTCCACATACCGAAGAGAGACAAACATTGTTAGAAGCAAACAAGAGTGTATATGAACTGTTCATAGAAGAAAGCGACTTTGAGTGTTTAGATGAAAGGTCATTATACGATTCGTATAAACAATATTGTCAAGAATATGGTTATATGGCAGCTTCTAAACGTACATTCTTGGCAAATGTCAAAAGTCTTTTAGATGTTCAGAATGGTGTATATACAAAGAAAATTTTTTCTGAGTAAATTTTAAAAAAAATATTTTTTATCCGATAGAAAAAGATGGCAAAATTCATCTCAGTAAATAAGTACATGACAGAAGTCAAAGATAAGTTAGCTCCATTCGCATATTTGAATGTTTACTTCTACAATTTTGAAAAGTCTACATTTGACAAAATTTGGAACATTGCACCAGTTAAGTTTGCTGTTGTTAGAAAAAGTGGTGCAACTTTTGAAGACTTATACATTGACGGTATGTTGACAGTCAAAGAAAGTTTTGACAGAAGGTTCTCA